CAAGCAGCACCTAGTGGAACTGCAGTTTTTGCCATCTGGGGCACCTTTCAAGCCTTTCAAAGCGTCAGTCATAAAAGGGGAAAAAGTCACCCCGTATGTAGTTGTCATGAAATGAGGAAATTCACTTTCAAGGTTAATATACTGATTTTTTTTGTACCAGGCTGTAAACATGTCAGTTTCATCTGTGAAGTTGGGGATTGATTTGCCTCTGGAGAGCCTAAAGGGGTGTCTGGAGAAACTGACGTTTTTTACACTTTACGTTAGCTTGATGTTTCATGCCCAGAGGTTAGCGCTTGGCTTGAGATGAGCTGAGAGACGCAGCAGTTTGATCTTACTGACACTGTTAAAATATGAACCGCCTCAAATCCACATCAGGGTAAGTTGGGTTAAGTTACCACTGCAGGAGCTAAGCTGGCTAGCTAGCGTAATGACACTCAGTTTTATCCTTCCTTTCTCACTTGCTCTTGCGTTTTTGACTCGTTAAGCTCGTCGCGAGCAAACGTGCAGTGCAAACCGGGGTCATAACGCGGCCTTACAAGTCGAGATTTGTGCCTTTCCACTCTCATCCTGCCGTACAGCTCTGTGAGTGATGCGTGGAGTGGGTTGCAGCCAGAGATGTTGCAATATGCTCCTGGCTCACATTAAATTAATGTAGCTGCACTTTCCCGCTCTGATCCACACAATCTTTTTTTTCTCCTCCTACCACCAGTGAATTTCATCCAAGAGTCAAGTTTAATTTTACCTTGAGGCAAACGCAGCAGAAGCAGCAGCAGCAGGTCAGAAATTCTCAGTTTCTCTGTGTGTGCGTGTGTCAGAGAAAAAGAGAGAGATATACTCACGACTTCTGCGGTGCAGTTGGTGGTTTAGCAGCAGGCTTGTTAGCTGATACAGTACATCGTTCTGCAACACAACAGAGAACATTCAATCACTGTATCACAGTTTTGCATGTGTCAAGACTTGTGTCTGTGTGTGTTGATTAGTGTTTGACAGGAAGCCAAACTCACATCACTGTAGACCAGCAGTACTGTCACATTGGAAAATATGACACTCTGTTCCAGTGTGTATCTGTTTGCTTTGGTAACAGGATTGTGGGGTAAAAACAGTAAGTAAATGTCCTTTTGCAATAAAAGTCAAACTGAAACACTCTGACAAAAACGAGGAGATTATTTATTTTCCAAGTGGATATACAGAGGAGTCTGTGAACAGAATCCTTTTTGCTGTATTTCATATTCCAGTCAGTCGTATTTCTTCTTTTCTTACACAGAGAGGAAAAACCTGCCAGTGGGGAAATGCTTGAGCTTTATATACGGCACAAATAACTCAAAACACTACAAGATGGATTTAACAAAGAGCAACAACCTCAGAAAAGCTTTTCATGATCTGATCAACCCTGGGAGTCGGAAATACTGTAAGGTACTATATGCAGTACTAGGTGAAGTTAGCGTAGAGTCCTGTGAAAAAGGAAAGTTTCCACAGGACTGTGAATAACTAAATGCATCCCATGATTCAGTAGCTTGTAGAACCACCTTTTCCACCTTTTGCAGCAATAACCTGAAGTAATCGCTTTTTGTATGACTTTATCAACCTGTGGCAAAACAGTTTTTCCTCTCTGCTTGATAGTATGTTAAAAACGGATGCAATGGATGACCAGCTATACTCAACTATGGAGCTTTTTGACAGTGTTATGGCGTGTCGCTTTATTCTGACTGATTCATAATGACCTATTTTGTGGTTTCAGAGGTGTCTCAACCGATGGAAGAACACACACACAAACACAGGAGCCCAGAGGCCACCGGTGAAATAGAAAACTGTATTTAAGGTGTTTTTCAACCTCTAACACCATCACCATTAACCAGACGTGTTATCTGTAAATATGCGGTATATCCATAAGGTCTTAGGAATCAAAGCTTTTTACACCTGGTTCTGATATGCAATCTGCATTTGGACGCATTATCTACATAATCACATCTGATTGTTAGCATTAACACCTTGTTTTAATTATTGTCTCATTATCTCAAATCAGCCTGGAATGTGATCAGATAAAATGGTAAATGGCCTGTATTTGTATAGCGCTTTATACTAGTTCCTATGGACCCCAAAGCGCTTTACACATCCAGTCATCCACCCCTTCACACATTGTAGCCACAGCCACCCTGGGGTGCACTGACAGAGGCGAGGCTGCCGGACACTGGCGCCACTGGGCCCTCTGACCACTACCAGTAGGCAACGGGTGAAGTGTCTTGCCCAAGGACACAACGACTGAGACTGTCCAAGCCGAGGCTCGAAACAGCAACCTTCCAATTACAAGGCGAACTCCCAACTCTTGAGCCACAATCGCCCCAGATCTAGATATGTAAATTACTCCGGCCCACCTGGCTGACTTAGCAACAATTTAATCCATTACTGTGTGCAACTTCCACCACCAACACAGGTTTTTAGATATCTAATTGTATAAACATCTTTATAGGGGCCTGTTATTCTTATTTCCAGCTCTGTATTTTTCTTCCTAAATCATACTAGAGGATTCACATGATTCACAGTTTAAAATAAGCCATATTTATGTTATACAACAGCCTGATTGCCCAGGTCCCACAGGTTGGTTAGCAGCCAACTGACAACCACCTCTCGCTAGGGGACCTCCGTATTCCCCAGACGGTTGTGAGTGGATGTTGAAGGTTGCTGGCAGTTGCTGTGGAGGATCTGGGAGCAGCACAGTCTTCTCACAGTGCCTGATTTAAGCGAGTGACATCCAGCAACCACTTGCCAATCACTTACAGAATACCAGTGGTTGCCAGGGGGGTTGTCAACATGTTTGTGTCACTGAGCTCACTGGCTAAAAGAATGACCTTAACTTAAAACATCTTTCTTCTGACTGGCTCAGTCACTCATTTGAGAAATGAATGACAAAGCAGCAGGTGGGTGGGGCTTCTGTTTTGTTAGCTAGAGCTGTGCTATGACCATATAAGGCCATCCCTGCTTCCTGACATCACACAGAGCCAATAATAGGGGGAAAAAACCTCAAACTCAGCATTTAAAGTGAGTCTGAAGAGCTTTTAAAGCAGCGTGATTGTTTGTGCATATGTTGACCTCACTATCTAAACTTCGGTTGAGGTTAACATCAATCCTCTAACAGTATTTATATGACAGAAAACGCAGGAGATCATACAACTGCTGCCGTGTGGACGCATTTTCAAGAAAGAGGTACTTTTTAAATGTTATGCATGAATTAATATACACTGTGACAGAACCTTTTACCCTCATTAATCTACTCTAATGTGATGCTGTCAGTTCAAACACAAGCCCCCGATTTCCACTCATCACGTAATCACGTTTGTCTGATTACTTGTTCAGATGAACCCAGGAAGTTAAAAGCAAAGGTTTTTCCGACTACCCTCCTCCCGTGGCAATGATTTCATTTCAACGTCAGCTGCCTTTCTCACATTCCTCCTGGGTGGCGTTGCCTTTAATGGCCTCGGCAGCATTAATTATCGCAGAGCTCATACGTGAGTGTTTACGCTGGGAAAACTTACTCTGGGTGTTGTAGCCCGAGGTCACATGCTGTGACTCCTAGAGAGCGGGAGAGAAGGAAAGAGAAAGCCAGAGGGAGACGAGTTGAATGAATAAACCAACAGATGTCATTATTGATTTCACAGCAGCACAAGGATGCCATTACACAGAATTCAGAGCCTCTCATCTCCCCGCGTCGACGCTCCTCCTCATTCTTAAAACTCACTGTGACGCAGGATTAGTGTGAGGCTGGAGGCTGAAGGCGCCACAACAGTCCTTCCTAATTCATTAAGTACTCAGTCAGACTTACTGCCTCTGTGTTTACATTCCTACTTCACCTCACACCAACACCAATGAGGCACTTTGCATATTAAGAGTAATTCATAAAAGCATGAGGCAAAAAAAATCAGTCTGCTGTTTCAGGGAGAATTGTTATCGTCACCTCAGAGATAAATGTTCAATACAGCATTGCTGCTTCTTTTAATGTGGCAAATCTTCTAGATATATATATTACAAGGCGTCGTAAATCTTCCCTTTTTTGTAGCGGCGGGTGAAACTTTGAACATCGATCTTCTGAAATCTTCAGTCTGCTTTTATTGTGCCTGAACGCCACTTTTCAAACATGACAGACAAACAGTGCAGGTGAGGATACAGAGTTATTTTGCTGATGACATTTCTGTAGGTGATCTTTGTTTCCTTGACTCTTCAGCTGTGGCTGTTATCACTGTTCCTGTTAAATACACACTCAGTTTCTTGTTTTTGATGAACGATTAAACGATAAAGTGGAAAAGCGTTCAACTTGAAGTAGTTTTTATCTTATTTATTTATTTCTAAAGTCTAAGTGATCTGCAGATCCTCAACTTTTTTCTTTTTTTATTCGACGGATGAATTTGTTCTGTTGATTACAGGCTGGCTGTGTTGAGCTCTGAGAGATAATTGAACTGGTGAGTCAAACACAGTGTTAGGGTCCCTGGGTCGTTGACCCAGTGTTTTTGTGTTTTTGGTTCTTTGATTTTGTTATTTCATTATATTCTAGCTTTGCTTTATGGGTTTTAGGATTATTCTTAGTTTAGGTTCTCTGGGTGGGGTTTGGTTAGAGTTTTAGTGTTCTGGTTTTCTGTCTGTGTTCCATGTTGCTGTCTCCCCTTTCTACTGTATCCCCACATCCAGTCAGTGTCTCTGTTCCCTTTGTTATAGTGCCTGCCCGTGAGTCTGTTATGTTTCCTGTTTTACTTTGAAAGTCCATGTGTGATGTTAATATGTCTGGTTTTGCTTCCTCTTGTCTCGTTAGGCCTGATTTGCCCCAGCTGTGTTTCCCTCCTGTTACCCATTCCCTGATTGCTCCCTCTGTGTATTTTAGCCCTGTGTTTCTTAGTGTCTGTGTTGCGATCTACCATTTATTTTGCTGTGTGTTTTGCCTGTCCACCGGTGTAAGTTTATTTTGAGTTTTTCTAGTTATGTCATGTTGCGTTCAGCATTAAAGCCTTTTTGAGGTCACGTCTGTCTCCGGAGTCTGCACCTTGGGTCCTATTCCTGCCTGCACACAGCCACACCTAACACACAGAGGACGCCGTTGGTGCTTATTAGCGGTGTTCACCTGCGGTCCTCTGCTTCACAAAGTAAGGAAGACCACGCCGTGTCAGCGGTGGAACAAAGTCTTTTCAGACTGTTTTGCCCTTTTCCTGACTGAGCGATTAAACATGTTAAGGGACAGTAAGAATAGACGGTAATAGCTAAGTTAATAAGAAAGTATTTTGTTGCCAAGTGAATAACTTTGCATTAAACTGTCAGTAAGTTTAATTCCAGTGATTAGGTGGAAACTTTGAAATTCGCCTGATTTGCTGACGTTACTTGAAAATACTTTTTTATTACTGCCGCCAACGAGGTGATGATTTTGGTAGACTTTGGGTTTCAGTCTGTCTGTAAATATGATATCTCCAAAACTTTTGAATTAATTATGATAAAACTTTGTAGGGGTGCAGAGCGGGGTCACGTTAGCAATCCATTAAAATTTGCCTTTCATCCACAACTTGTGCATCAACTTAATGATTTATTGGTAAAAATCTGACAAAGCCGAACAAAATGAGAAACTATGATTCTTACAATTTATACCAACAACAACCAAAGGTGTTGTTTAACATGTGGAAACCTTTTTTTTTTTTTATTATGGCTGATCTGACAACTTGATAGATGATTTTAAATATAAATAAATATCTCTACTTTTAAGATTAGGCTTCAAACTTTCCTTTTTGATAAAGTATATAGTTAGGGCTGGACCAGGTGACCCTGAATCCTCCCTTAGTTATGCTGCAACAGGTGTAGGCTGCTGGGGGATTCCCATGATGCACTGGGAGTTTCCCCTTTACTCACTATGTGTTAATAGACCTTAACACAGTAATTTCATTGGCTGTCATTTGTGCCACTGTGCAGAATGAGCCAACAGTAATGTGATTCTATCCCAGCATCACTGCTGCAGTAAATTTGTGAATCAGAGCTAATGAGCAGACTGAAGATTTTCAGTGACAGACTGCAGTTAGTGTTACTGCGCCCCTCCAATAAGTGTCACAGTATAAGTAAAGGTTTTTCACGACTGCATCGCATCTTTTTCCACCGCTCGCTGACTCACGCTTAAAGTGAAAATGATCAAGGCCCAAGAACATGATAACAACTTTGAAGGAAGCATGCATCAGCAGGCGTGTCATTCGGAGAGAATGTACACTATTACGGATTAATGTGAGCCACTTTGAATTTAGTGATGAAAGGTTTTGGGTGTAGTAGAAGAAAAAGCATACTAACCTTGTTTGGGATGGGAAATTTGGTCTGATCAGCTTTCCCAGGAGTGTGTATGGCTGTTAGTGGAGGAGGCCAGGAATGGGTCATCTCCTGAACACACAAACAAATTTTTAAATATATTATTTTAAACAGATATTCATAAGTAGCAGAATTTCTGTCATTATAACCAGCTAAATAAAGGATACACAGCTTGCACTTGTGTTGCCTTTACCTGGTGTCTAATCATGATAAAGTTTAGCCCATTGGAACAAAGGGGCTTGCTTATGCAACATCTTTGGTGCAGTGGAGTGGAGTCAGCATTCAGTCAAGGTTGTGCTGCACCAGCACCCAATCAGGGTGGGTTCAGTATAAGTTTTAGTATAAACTGGAAGGCGCTTAGGGAGTTAGTGACCCACCAGGGATTGGTGCAAATGCAGAGTTGGTGATTTACCAAAATAAAAGCTGACTCCAGTCGGCTGCATTTCAACAGAGCTGCACAAGGCAGCAGCAGAAGCAGCAGCATCCCCTTTCAATTATTCTAATCACACCGTTTTCTCAGCTGAATTCCAATCTCAGTATGTAGAAGCATCAATTAGTTAACAAGATAAACATATGTGCATGAGTGGGTGGGTGTGCTGGAGCTTTATAATCTGTTAGGTACTGGCTGTTTTTATTTCTCACAAACATTGGAAAGGAGGCACATAGAAGGCTGAATATGGAAAATTACCAAATAGATTTTCTTAAAGCTTTGATTCCCTCCTTGATGTCCTTTGTAACCACCATCACCTGAAAACTGAATTCTTGGTAAATGTGTTTTAATGACCAATAACTTCTTTTTCTGTGACATGTGTTTAAAATGGTTGGTAATGTCATTAAATCCATTTTTTTACATGCTCATTTCCACTCACACAGCCACCGTGCAGCAGGTCACGATGTCAAAGGGCCAGAATTTTCCCATCATCCATCTCTTCACCCCCCCTTGGTAGATGAATGCTATTCATCAGATGACACATGAGTCTGGGAGGACGTATGTGTGTGGGTAAGGTTGTGTGTATAACTGAGCTACACATTAATGACGATACTTGAGCATGAGTGTGTGGCTGTGTTTTCCCTCTTTATAATCGTAACGCACTTGGCCTGACGACATATGGTGTGTTGCTAGGTAACCGCTCTCTGACATCATTAACATCATTGAGTCAATCCTTGAAGAGTTCCTGTGCTTTCACAGACAGGACAGCTGTTTTCTCCTGAATTTGTGTTTGCATGTGTCTGTAAATGTGATATTGCAGCCACTGCGCGTGAGTTACTCAGTCTGTCATAGTTAAACGCAAATGGTTTCCCAGTTATTATCAATTTGTCATATTCTCCATTATCTACATCTATTACGCCCCGACACAGACATGCAAAATGTACATTTATCCACCACCGTGCACTGAAAACACGACCGACCTCGCTCTCTCCTTTCGCTCCTTCTCTGTTTTTTAATAAAGAAGCAGAACAGGGCACGCTGCGTGCTCCGTGTTAGATGGATAATGTGGTGTGCTTCACATCACCAGCTGTTTCTCTCTTTTGCCTTTTTTTCTCTTCCCATCTTTCTGTTAATCTTTCAAGTTATTCTTAAATTCATCATTCCAAAGAGCCTCTTTTAGATGTTTTCTGGCAAACATTTTCTAATCTGACATTTTTATTCTTCGGTGTAACCAAAGGTTTGCAACTTGGTATAAATCTTTTAAATTTCCATTCATGAAGGCGTCTCTTGATTGAAGACTTTATGCATGTACCTCCTTGTTAATATCACTTTTGTTTTCTGTGGTCTTTCAGGCCTTTTGCTGTCGATGAGCTACTCTGCCCTTCTTTTTAAGAACATATTATATATACACATATCAATTGATTTTTCCCAAGTTTTCTCTAATTGGTTAACTTTGTTTCTTGTCCAAAAATATGCCAACTGTAAATTACAACAAGCTAGCTAGTTTTCTTGGCTTGCGTCATTCCAAGGTAAAGCTAGCTAGCTAGCGTCTGACTCACAGTACACATGTAACAATGTAGATATGGTAGGAACATAGAGGGTAAATGCAGCCATTAAATGTAAAAATGTAATTATCTACATACACATATATCATCATAATCATGGCTTCTTGATATTAGTTTACTTTTCTAATTGGCTAGGTTTAGGTTAATGTTAAAATCAGACAGCTCAAATATCCAGTCTTTAAGTCTGACGTCATTAGCCGTTTCCGGGTCCAAACTCCGCTTCAGGTCCCAAAGTCAAACGAACACTGGCGCAACACTGAGAGTTACAAACTGTCCAAATTCTTTCATCTGTAATAAAATGATCAGCGTTCTGCTCTACCAGGTGTAACAATTAAGTTCAACATCCAGGTTTGAAGTTAGCTCGCTAGTTTCTCCCTAAACATGTTGTTTTGACAGAGGAATTTCCGAAGAAATGAAGACGTACAGCTCTGCTATCACTTCCAACATAAATGAAGACAGAAAACTAAACAGCAGTGACGTTTGTAGGGTTACTGAAGTTTGGCTAGCTGGTATATAATGATGTGCTACGTGGTGGCTAGCTACACAGCTATGTTAGCATAATATAAACACATTAGCACTTTTTTCCACTGATAAAAGTTAAGGTGAGGGTTCCCGATGGTTAGGGACAAATGCAATCATTATACAATTCATTTAAACATTTTAATGGCAGGAACAGCTGGTTTGCCTACAGTCCCCTTTTGGCTCATTAACCCTAGAACACTATCGCTGGGTGATTTACACCCGAGAAAATACATTTACATGATTTCTCTCTCCTGCAGCTGTTTGCGTGTCGAGGAGCCTGTGCCATCACCAGGGAAGTCTCAAATGTCCCAGGAATGGGTGGACCAAAGACCAGCTTTCCAGAGTCATTATTTTGTTTTAGGAGTTTTATTTTTCATTTTGTTAGACATGGCACAGTTGAAAGTAAAAGAAGACCACTCTAATTTGTCATGTGTTGTCATATTTTCATATATTTGATTACTTTTCATTGGTTATATTATATCGGGTAAAAATCACCCGGCATTAGTGATCGTGTTACTATTTATAGCGATAGTGTTCTAGGGTTAATGATGTATTTTTAGATAATGCTTCTTGTTTATAGTGAACTTACCATAAGCTAAAACATTAGCATGGATATCATAGAGCTTGGTGCTCCAGTGGTTCAAACACTGTAAAAAGTCAATACCCCTCAGAAGGATTGACTTTACTGTACAATATCTCTGATGCACACCGTTACCTTGAATTGTGCAAACATCCACGACAACAATGTTCCTGTGACAAACATCTTGTAGCCGTGTCATTACAGAGAGAGAAAAATGAAGTGCAGGCCCCGTGCTCCGATTCACCTCACCTCACATTTTGAACTCCTTGATCTTTCCACTTGACACAGCTAAAAACCACAGACTGAATTCAATAGAGCACCAATATTATCGACAAAGGCATTTCATGCAGCTCACAGCAGCCTATCTGTCACACAGCCTGTTGACCAGCCTATTGATTTGTGGAGGGGGAGGAGAGGGAGGGGGCTGAATGACAGAGAGGAATGAAGAGGGAGGAAGACAGACACTGAGGGAGAAAGAGAGGGCGCACCAAGTGCAAGAGAGGAGAGACGGCGAGAAGTGAAAGCGGTAACTTGACATAAAGAAGTCAAAGACGGTCCCCGTCCTAATCTTCTGACTGGCAGTGAGGGAAGATTAGCGAGGGAAACATTTTTGTTTTGACATCACTCCCAGGAAGAGACAGGAGAGAGAAACTGTGGGAAAATGTATTGCTGTGTGATTTTGATTACATGCAGCTAGAAAGGAGGAAGAAAGAACGGTTAAAGGAGATGATAGGTCTGTGGAAAAGATGTCTGTATGATGTCATCCAAATAAAAGGACTTGTGTAATCATTGACCTAAGCCAACAGATTGCTTTCTCTTCTCCCTCCCTGCCTTGTAGTCCCCTTTCTTTTCCCTGTCCTTCCTTTGCAAAATCAGACTCTGGAGAGGGACCAAGCTCCTTGTGAACAAACAGAAAACAGCTGATAATCAGTGCAATTACTGTGCATGCGTGTGTGTGTTTGTGTGTGTACCCAAGCAACGTACCCGCAGAATCTCTTCAACACAGCTGGAGTTGTTTGGTAGGCTGACCTGGAGAAAACAAAGGAAGACAGAGAGATTGACTTCAGCACTATTTATAGCGACATTACATTGCACGGGACACAGCGGGGGTACAGAGGTTTAAGCACCAAAAACAAATAAAGCGGATCCATCCACAGCGCAATTACGAATCGCCGCGGACTTACACGGCACATGCTACAATGACACCTGTGGCCGATTTACCATTCAAACTCAACGAGAAGGACTTCTGAAACAATAGCTCACTGATTTCACAAAGATGTAAACAAACAATGCATTCTCATTTCTAGCTGCTGTTGGTTTTTTTTAATTGTTTTGATTTTATTGTTAGTTAGTCAATTTAGCTAACATTTTGAAAATCATTTATCCTCACTGGTTAATGCAATATTACTCTTGCAGGGTTATACGTTGCCATCATGTCTCCCCACGACCTTCAGTAATGTACATAATGTTTGTACTGTAGTGAAAATTCTTCGTTATCATTATCCTGTATCGTTTTCACTGCAGCTTCTTCAGCGCTCTGTAAATTGTTAGAAAATGATTATTCTTGGTTGACAAAGTGTAAGAGTGCTCTGATGGATTGATGTTTTCAGATTATTTGATCAGCAGCAGCTGAGACCCCAGAGACAGAAAAGGTTTTAGCTAAAACGCTAGGCAAGATCAAATTTAGAATTTTATCAAAAGCAAGATGTTTGAGTCTTGCTGCAGCAGAGGAAACAACACAGAAGGACTCCGAGTACAGCCTTAGTTTCCAGCGTGTGAACTGGTATGCAGCTTTGGTATGTATGTAATCAAGCTGGTTAATTATGTTCTTTTTGGTCTTGGATGGAAAAATCAGTCATTAGCGTATTTGGCTAACAAGCTTGCTACTTATGTTTGAAATCAACATTTTTAAACTATTTGTTCTTTTTCTAAGTACATATTTTTGAAATAAAATTAGAGTAGACACCATAAACAGACTTTTTAACTTCCAAGAAGGGCTTTTATGATTGTATACAAATGCCTTCAGTGTCTGGTTATGGTTATTCCACCCACTGTGGTTCAATCGCTTTCAAAACATTCATATTTTTCGGAGCATTCATTTAAAATTCTCTCATTACAGATGTAATTTTCAATGAGTCTTAATAAAGTCAAACCATTTGTGCACAGTTTGTCTAAAACAATGTGATGCACTGTAGTCGTCCACCCTCCTTGTTATGAGCGACTAACTTGTGCAGAGGGTAGAGAAAAGATGTTTTGAAAAATTAGTTATTTCAGTTTTAAAATTCAAAAACAGCCATTAAATAGCTGTGGTTTGGCCTGCATCGTGTGAACCACGGGGCCATTTTAGCTCCACAAGTCACTGGACTGCTTTGAGGTTTGAGGATAAAGAAAGAGGCTGTTTGAGCTTAGACATACGCACACTCTGATTAACCAGTTCAGTGGCTGCGCGCTGCTAATCTATGTTAACATGCGCCCTTGTCAATAAAGTCGTCCTTTGTTAACAGGAGTCATCTGCACTGAGCACTAAAGCAACATTGCAGCAGATGCCTGGGATATCACTGCAGACAGGTCTGGCATTTCAGAACACTCCTAAAAACCTAAATAAAGTATTTGTGCCAAACCACACACAAACATTTCTGAAGCTAGAAGTCTTTGCTTTTTCAGATAAGCCAGCCCTACTAAGAAGTTTTTTCCCTGCTCATTCCAAACAAATTATTATTGTCGCTTTTGGAAAAACACAACTTTGTTTGCTAAAAAAGACACAAGAAAAAAAAAAGTCCACTGCCAAATTATTGCCTCACAAACAGTAATTGAAAAGAAAATCTGTCTGGGTCAGATCTGGGCTCAGATCAGTCCAGCAGACGGGCTCATTAAAGCAGAAAGAGTGTGAGGAACAGCAAGATGAAGGCAGAAAGACTGAAAAGCTCAGAAACTCTGAGGCAAATTCACTGCAGAGCTCTAACATATTACATCAACATAACCTCTGTTACACACCATTACTAATAGCACTAACACGAAACGAGGAGCAATTTAGTATAACCGTGATGAGAAGGATGACATCATACTCTGCCTTAAATCACTGACTGTTAAAACAACAAAAGGGACTCTGGGCTGACAGGCTGGTTGAGCTCACCAACGAAGTATCCGCTTATTTGTATGTTTTCTAGACATGAGCTGTTCATCTACATCGACATGTTAATTCAACAGTGAGTCAAGAGGAAACCAGAGTGGGAGGATGAAGATGTGTTTTTCCCCCAACAAAAGTCCCAAGGCCACTTTTTACTAAAAGAAATCTTACAGACTTCTAGACAATACGAAGCAGATGTGCTACATTTGTATCATGCGATAAAAAGCCAACAGCTGGATTATTTAGCTAATGAAACAACGTCATTACCATCAGAAGGCAAGCACACGAGGTCTTGATTTACTGTAGATTACAAAGTGGACACGAGATTTCACTCACAGTGCAACAAACCTGAAGCATCAACATGTCTTGAAATTCTCCAGGGGCCCGGCAACAAACTAATTATTTGACCCAGGGTGATATCTGGCCTGGAGTTGGACAGCCCTGGTCTAGGCCACACACAGGATGGACGCCTTGCAACTACGTGAAATTGCACTGAAATTTTTTGCATTCTGCAACTGATTGCAAATAGTTGTGACTGCTTTAGATTGCAAGGCCTTTGCACTGGTTACCTGACGGGAGGCAGAAAAATCGAATTTTTAAATGCAGACAGATTGTCAGCATGCGGCACTCAATGTGAGTGAGTCTATGCCAATGAGCAACTCATCTGCCACATGACTCGACTCAACTGGCTGCCAAATGTTTGTATGTTGGTTATGTTCATATAAAAGCAAGGTTGCTGAGGATACTCAATGTTTAATTAACTTTAAACACTGAGAATTTGTTTTTCTAAATATTTAAACATGCAATTTTGTCTTCAATCAGTCCTTAGGGAAATATCTGCTTCTCTAGCTTGCAAATGCCCAATTTATGTCCAAATGACAGTTTGTGTTCTTCAGTGAGCTTCAGGTAACGTACAGATGGTTGATTAGAGCTGATTGCCAGCCAAAAGTTGCAAACTGCAACGTGGAAATGAAGCTCATTAGATTTGTGAAAGCGAACCAAGAGAGTAATGTCGAGGGTTTCAAAGTTCAGAAAACGAGCTGGAAAACACTAAAACACTTTGCAGAGATGAGAGGAAAAGCACAGTGACTGATAACTGTCAGCATTAATGACCCCTTTTTTTGGTGTTATTATAAAAATAGTATACTCAGAGTGTAATGCAGTAATGGTAGCACAGGTTGAATTAGTTTAATGACTCAAAAAGAAATGCCAGCAAAAAAAACCAAAACAAAAAAACGGAAAGAAAACAAAGAAAAAGACGGCTGGTTAAAAGAAAGAAAATCTGATAGTTTAGGAAGAATTGATTTAACCACAGTTTTACTTTGCTGTTCAAGATCAGTGGTGTGTTTAGTGTGACAATACCTGGCTTCCCATATGGAAAACAACTAGGTGTCACGGTCCTGGGTCTCCTGCCTTATGGTTTATGTCTCTGTATTTCTTAGTTGCTGTCTCCACTGTGTCAAGTTCGCGTCTCTGTGTGATACTTCCTGTTTTACTTTGAAGGTCCGTTTCTTATGTGAATGTGTCCTGCTTTGCTTGTCTCGTCAGTCCTGATTTCTCCCAGCTGTGCCCTCCTTCTGTGTCTCATTCCCCTCGTTACTCCCCAGTGTATTTAAACCCTGTGTTTCTCTGAGTCGGTGTGACGTCGTCCCTCATGCTGTGTGTGGATCTCCCTGTGTCTCGCTGTAGTTCTTAGTTTGTGGCGTCCCAGTTTAGTTTAGTTTGTATGTTTGTTTTACCAGCAAATAAAGCTGTGTTTTGAGTTCATTCCCTCGAGTCTGTGAGTCCTGCATTTTGGGTCCAACTCCCGCCTGCCGCACAGCGATTCATG